GGCTGTGCCTGTGCCCATCCTCGAGCCAAGCACCTCTCCAACGCCGAGCCTTCCCCGGCCAGCACCCCAGCTCTGCCCTCTCCTAGCAGACGCAGCAGAAGAAGGTGCAGATCGTGAGTAGGGCTGAAATCCTGTTCAACGGATCCACGTATTCCCAGTTTCCAGGGCAGGAGGCATTTCTGAGGGCCCAGGTAGGGCTGTGGGCCCGGACAGGTGGGGGAGGGGGTTCCAGAGGCCAAATCCATGATGCCCAGTTGGGGCTCCCAAGCACGGTAGGGGGAGGGGTGGGTAGGACGGAAGGTCCCTGGGCAGGACAGTTGTCCCTAAGCCCATGAGTGCTTCTGTATCTCACTCTTGGAACAGAGCTTGGGGAGGTGAGGAGGGAGTTAAAGTGGGGGGACCTGGGGAGAATGTGGGGCACCAGAGGCCTCCTGCCTTCTGATGGGCCCACCTCTGCTTCAGGTGGAGACGGTGCTGGAAGAGTATGAGGTCTATGACCCCAGACCCCTCATCCTGGGCAGCTCCGTGGGCGGGCTGCTGCTGCTGGCCGTCATCACAGCCGTGCTGTACGAGGTGAGCGTGTCCGTCCACTCCGACACCGCCAGTACCCAACCCAAGCTACCCACAGACAGGATGGGATGGTGGGAAGAACTCAAACTATGGAGTACACACATCTATGGAAACATTCTGACTCTGTCTTGCTACTTACTGTCAAGCCAAGTTGCTAAACCTCTCTGAACCTGTTTCCTCATTTTAAAAATAAAAGCAATGCCTACATCAGAGTGGTGTAAGTGAGATAGAAATAGGACCAAGCTATGTGTGCAAGCCTGCCTGAATCAGAATTTGAGTAGCACAGTACATACTCAATATGACAGCTGTCGTCACATAAGTGTCGAGCACACAGAATCACTTCGACTTAGTTCCCTTCTCTCAGCCTTTTCCTACTCCCAACTTTCTTCCCTGTCTTCTTACCCAGCTTTTTCGATTTACTTCTTGTAGCTTGGTTTCTTCAAACGTCAGTACAAAGAAATGCTGGCTAACACGGCTGAAGACACTGCCACTTTCAATAAGGAGGATCTCAGCTCTGAAGCTCCCAGCTAATCTTTGTCCCGATAATCCACTTTCCCGTAAATCCCTCCCCCGCCACTGAGCAGTCCTGCCTAAGTCCCAGACTTACAGTTAAGCCTGTAAGTCTCCTTCCCTGGAACAACACTAGGTAGATCTGTGCTGGCCTGCACAACTCAGTTGTGCTAAGCTGCCTTCCCAAAACATGGCAAGATTTTCATATTTTTACATATCTCTCAGACCTCCTCAGCGATGACCCACTTTTTACACGATGTCAGCAGGAATTTTCATGTTTAATAATTGTAACATTAAAGGCCTCCCTGGTGGTGCAAAGGGTTGGGTCAGTACTTCATATTAGCACCACGAAGCTGTCTGCAGCCACTGGGGCATAAACTCGACGCCCTGAGCCTCAAATGGCGCAGCGGACTTCTCCTGACTCGCAGCTCCCCTCAGCAGTGTATTTCAGTGGATCTGCCTGTTCTGCTCCCCAGCTGTTTCTGGCAAATCCTCTCACCCCACCCCCACCCTTCCCCCTTGAACCTCTAGATATATAATAAAAGAATTTTAAAATAAATCTTGTAATCTTTGATAATCTCAAACCCCTCTGCCTGGAGAAGGGACACCAAATTTATACCTTGCTCCAAAAGTTATGTGGACTCAATGGGTGTCCGTCTAGTGCTTTCATTAGTAGGTGGGAGAGGAGGGAATCTCCTACCTGCCATCAAGAATGTCCCCTAGAATTCTCAAATCCAGTAGTCGAAAGAACACGTCCTACACATAAGGCGGCATGCGCTGGGAACGCGGCCCAAGCCCTGCCCCCCACCCCGCCCCGCCGGGCCTGGCCCGCTGCCCAGTGCACACTGAACCCACAAACACTTGGCTTCCAAGCCTTTATTGCATCGGGGCCACCAGCCCCCTCAATGGTGTTCATAACCAGTGGGCAGAGGGTTGACGTGGGGATTGTGGAAAAGAGTGCGGTTGCCGTCCCCCCAAGAGTAGCGCTGTGGAGAGAGGGAGAAAGCAAGTGGTCAGTGCTCACTGGGCCGGGGATCCCCCGCCCATTCACCACCCACTGGTGTGGGGCATGGAGAGGTGGGGAGGGGCGTGGGGGTAGGGGGTATCCAGGCTCCGTCTGAGGCTCAGGCCGGCATACCTTGGTGCGGATACGGAGGTGGTGGTAGGGGATGAACTCGGGGCGCTGGTGCTGACCCGCGTGGAGCCAGGAGTTGAGTGTACAGAGAGCCACGCCAGGGAGCGCCAGCACGTAGGTCAGGAAGCGCCAGGTGCCAGCTGCGCTCAGGAAGAGGCAGAGGTAGAGAGAAGGAGAGAGGTGAGAGAGAAACAGAGGTCAGGGAGCAAGAGGTCGGTGGGGTGTCGGTGACTGTGGAGGCGGAGGTGAGAAGAAGTGGGCCAGGTCAGAAAACCGCTGGGTCAAACCACTCACCTCCTGCCCCGCCGTGGTCACCCTTGGCGGCGCTGGCAAAACCCCGACTCAAAGATCTCAGCGGCAGAGCCATGGCGGCAAGAGGGGGACAGTAGGTCTGTCCTTCCTCTCTCCTCCGCAGAAGCCTCTATTCTCCTCCCCGACTTTAGGCCCAATCATCTGTTGAGTCTGTAACACGGGAGGCTATTTTTAGGGGGTTTCTATATTTAAAATGAGCCTGGCTGACATGAGGTCTTTCTGACAGCTATGAGGAGGCCACAGTGAAAATGCAACGTGCCGTTCTTTTTATAGTTGCAGGGAACAGCTTTGCTCAACAGCTTCTCATTAGCACACAACCCTTCAACAGAATTGTAGCTGGAATTAAATGTCCTTTGGCATCTCTAATTTCTAATCATTTCTACCTTAAATGCTGAAGTCAACTAACATAGGAGCCTGCCAGCTTAGGCTCTGGCCTGTGATAGAAGCTCAGTATGTGTATTGTCCAATTGTTAACAAGAAACAAAACTCACTGTTGACTAATTTTGAAAAGAGGAACAACCAGGAATCTGAGGTCGCAGTGTCTATGGTTTGCCAGAGCCGACAATCTGCAGAGCCAGAAACAAACCAGGCTGGGCTGCAAGACACCAGGAAGGTTCACAGGGCTGGACACAGGCTACCTGGCTCCTGCGGTCTCACCGCAGAGCAGCTTCTGTCCTGGGCTGCAGTCATCCTGTGTACACCAGCGCGCGTCTGCGTCCTTCCTGGGCTGATCCTGGTTCCAGCTTTATGTGCTCTTTTGTCGGTCTTTGTACCCACCGTTTCATAATTACTCACTTTTAATTAAACTCGTAATTGGGCTGCTGCCAAAGCTTCTTGTGTCTTGGAGCTTTTTCTTTGCTTTAGGCCAAGAGAACGAATTTGCCCGTTGTTAAGTAAACCTCAGGAGGCAGCGTCCAGCCTCTTGACATTGGAAGCATCTAGAAATTTGCTATAGTGAATATGCACTGTTTTGTGTTGTCCCACAAACACAAAATATACTCGTGCCTGTTCCTCCTGATTCTAGGTTTTCTTTGTGAAATCACCCCCATTTCCTCTCACTTTCTGCTCAGTCAAGGACATCTTTTCCAGCCAAGAAGTCATATGGTCCAGGACTTGCCAATTGGAGCATTCCATTCTCCTGACCGTATTGATTGGCTTAAGAGGAGCACAAGTCCAGGAGAGTCTGTTTGGGAACTTCAGTCTTGGACCTTTAACACAATAGTATTTCAGCTGGACATGAAATTGCTGGAATCTGAGACTGCAACCTTAGATTGAAGTCTTTTTCAGAGCAGACCTGAATGATGAGAAAATTAGCCTTGTTAATATTTGAACTTCAGGATCCATTGATCTAGTTTTAGAAAGATTTGTACTCAGATTTTTGAAAAAAAGAAAAGTTTGGGTGAGATTTAAGTCTTTATTAACTGCTAAACATTTTATTTGAAACAGCTTATCTATAAAGTTTTATCAGTGAATTTCTGACTTTTGTTCCCTTTACTGTGATCCATGTTTTTTTTTTAAGATGTATTTACTTATGCACACAGAACTGGGGCACAGGCCAGAGGTGCAGGGGTGGTGAGAGGATTCACCAGGGACAGAGTGGGGAGCAGAACAGGCAGATTGACAAAGTACACTGCTAAGGGGAGCAGCCGGGGAGACAGGAGAGGCCTGCTGCACTGAAGCAGCTGAGGCTGCTGTTAGCTTGTAGTACTATTAACCCACTGGGCCACCAGGAAGGGCCCCTGTGGTTCACGTTTTATTGAAATATTTTTCCTTCTCTTGTAGATAGATACGAATGTCTTTAATAAACATCTGTGTGGGGTATATATAAATGAGGCCTAATGGACACTTAAGGGCCTTAAAATACAGACAGTCAACTGAATTACACATTGAGATACAGTCAAACCTGCTAAAGGTGAAGGGATAAAAAATATTGTGGGATACTCATAAAGAAGCATACAGGGCCCTCCCTGTTGGTGCAGTGGGTTGAAGCGCAGCACTGTGGAGCTCTCTGAAGCCACTGCAGCACTGGTTCATTCCCCCGCCAGGGAGCTGACCCATGTGGTGCAGCAGACCTCTCCCGTCCAGCCCACTGCTCTCCTCAGCAGTGTATTTCAGTAGATTGGCCTGTTCTGCTCCCCACGCTGTCTCTGGTGAATCTTCTGACCCACGTACCTCCAGCCTTACCCAAACTCTTGATTGCATAAATAGATAAATATTTTTTAAAAAAAACACACAGCTCAGCATCAAAAAGAACAATTTTACATACAACAAATAGATGTACCTCAAAAATCTCAAAATTATGTTAGCCCTAAGAGGTCACACACAAAAGATGGCATACTATATGATTCCATTTATATGAATTCTACAGTAAGCAAAACTTATTTTTAGTGGCAAGGAGCAAATGGATAATTGTCTGGAATTGAGTGGGGGAGTGGCTGGATGCAAAAAGTCATGAAAGAACTTCGAGGTATGATGGAAATGCTCCACATATTGATTATGATGGTGAGGGCGTTTACATTAGTGTACATATCACATTAGTGTTGGTAGCCACACTATTATATACGCTTATCAAAAATTACCTAATGGTACATTTAAGATGGACACATTGTAACTGCAACAAAGCTATTAGCACAGATAAGCTGAGCTTTTTCTGAGCTGTGGGCAGAAGGATCAGTGCTCAGCAACCCATTCTCTTTATAGATTATAAAATTATAATAATTTTTAGATTAAAAAAATTATAACTAGGCCCTCCCTGGTGGCGCAGTGGGTTAAAGCACTGCACTGGGAAGCTAAAGCCACTTCCCCATGAGTTCGATCCCCGCCCGCCCCGGAGGTGACCACATGGCGCGCCGCTGCTCCCCTCAGCAGTGTACTTCGTCGATCTGCCTGTTCTGCTCCGCACTCTGTCTCTGGTGAAACCTCTCGCCACCCCTGAGCCTCTGTCCTGTACCCCAGTTCTGTATGTACAAATAAATAAATCTTTAAAAAAAAAATTGTAACTAAACCACAAAGCTTAAGTAACTAGCACTTATACTTACTATATGACCTAAGTTTCTACACGTTGATCAAACCTCGTTACTCTTAAGATAGGGACTATTCCCCCATTTTACAGATGATGAAACAGCGGCAGTGAAAGGTCTTAACCTTGCCAAAGTGATCCATCATGTTAAGTGGCAGAGCCAGAATCCAACCAGTATGGCTTAAAAGAGTTTCTAATTCCTATGCTGCTGCAAAATTGTTATAAGACAAACTTCAACCTCCTCCAAGAAAATACGTGATGCCAGCCACGTAAGCTGGAATCCAGGGTCCCGGGAATCCTGGCCCAGCTTCTGCCTGGAAAAGCTCAGTTTTCCCCTGCCCAACCCGCTGGGTTTGCCAGTACCCCCTTCCCCCCAAATTGTGTCTGTGCCTGGCTTTCCCTAGGCGAGGGAACAACCACAGCGGTGAGAGTACCACAAAGGGTGGCAGAAGATGCGACCTCCAATCCCTAACTAGAATGTAAGGGGGAAATGGCTAGGGATTGGGATTTCCTCAAACCGGAGACGTTAGGACCTGCACTGCAAGCCAGGCAAGGTCACCAAGGTCCGGAATGACCCCAGAGCCCGGGTCCAGCCGCTACAATAGCGGGTATGCACATGCGCAAGCCGTCCCCTCCGCCTCACCTGGGAATCGAGCCAGGGAGTGACGCGACGGGCGGCACGGCCGCGCCCCCTAGCGGCTGGAGGTAGATGGAAGCGGCCTGAACTGGAAGGTGTTGGAGGTTTGAGCAGCATCTGGCTTGAAGAGGTACTTGCATCACAGAGCTGGCACTAGCGTGAAGCAAGTGAAGCAGTCACCTCCTGCACTAAAGTTAAGGGGGCGCCCAGGACACAGTAATAAAGATAAGCAATTTAATGCAAAGTTCAAAATTAATGCCAAAAATTCGTGATGAACAAAACATCACTTTGAAGCAGAGGCAGAAGGTGAAGGGAGCTCCAACCTTACTCTGTCAGGGGCTTGACTCACATCATTCTAGTCATGGCCCTGATTCCAGTAAAACCTTATGTTCAAAAAAACAGGTGTATGGCCCAGCCTGTCGTTTGCTAATCTTTTAAAATTACATTAAAATAATATTTATCTTGATTGCTGAGTAAGTTCCTGCCCCTTTTAAATTTCACACTAGCGGCTAGTGCTTTATCCTACCTTAGTGCCAAGTTCCCTCAGCTTTGGGAGTCACACATCTACCTTGGCACCCAGAAGAAAGGACACTGAGTTTGGTCTGAGAGTACAGCCTAGCTAAACCCAACATCAAGTGTTGTGTAGATCAAGTGTTGCCTGATCTGTTTGGGGAAGAGCAGTAAACTGGACCAGAAGTCAGAAGATCGAGCTTCTGGATTTTGAGCAAGTGTGAAGATCCCTTTCTCATCTGTAAAGGAAGGGACAGTTCCTTCTACCTGTCACTTCTGAGTCTAGGGACATGACTGTGAAGAGTGCAGAAAAGCACAGCACAGAGGCAAGATGTACATGTTCCCGGTCACAGTATGAGGATGGAAGCCGCTCACCGGGCAGAAGAGAGCAAGTCCCCAAATCTACTAGAGGAGGGAAAATCACTGAGGGTCAGAGATGGGCTAGTGGAAGTGTGGCTTGACCTGGTCCTCTAATTCCCATCTCCTCACAATCACACCTTTGCTTAATCCCCTCCCCCTCTAGTGTGGACTAGATTTAGAGAATAACTCTTAGTAAACAGAATGTGGCAGAAGTGATGGAAGGTCACTTCTGAGATTAGGTTACCAAAAGACCGCAACTCTGAGAGTTGAGAGAAATAAGTGAAAATCAGAGGACACAAATTTCCAGTTATAAGATAAAGAAGTCCTGGGGATGCAATGTTCTGCATAGTGACTAGTTAGCAGTACTGTACTGAATACTTGAAAGTTACTAACAGAATAGGTTTTAAAAGTTTACACACAAAAAACTGGGCCCTCCCTGGTGGTGCAACGGGTAAAAGCATAGTACAATGAAGCTCTCTGATGCCACTGCAGCATGAGTTCGTTCCTTGGCCAGGGAGGTGACCCACACAGTGCACAGACCTCTCCTGACCCGCCCGCTACTCCCCTCAGCAGTGTATTTCAGTCATTCTGCCTGTTCTACTCCCCACTCTGTATCTAGTGAATCCTCTTACCCACCCGCGTCTCTGGCCTATACCCCAGTTCTTGTGTGCATAAATAAATAAATCTTTTTTAAAACAGTTTACATACACAAAACTATAACTATGGGAGGTAATGGGTGTGCTAACTAACATTGTAGCGATCACTTCCAATCTATACATGTAACAATTATGTTGTAGAACTTAAACTTATGCAATGTTATATATTAATTATATCTCAATAAAACTGGAGGGGAAAGACTGTGGCTTCCACTTGGCATCTTCTCCTTCTCTTATTTAAGAAGATGTGCCAGCCCCTCAAACTGCTATGTTGTAAGTCACCCTAAGGATTAGTCCACATGTCAGAGTCAGAATTCTTTATTTATGCATACAGAGCTGGGGTACAGGCCAGAGGTGCAGTGAGAGGATTCACCGGAGACAGAGTGGGGAGCAGAACAGGCAGATTGACAAAACACACTGCTGAGAGGAGCAGGGGTCGAGACAGGAGAGGTCTGCTGCACCATGTAGGTCACCTCTCTGGCCAGGGATCGAACTCATGCCGAAGCGGCTGCTAACAGTTTCACAGTGCTGTGCTTTAACCCATTGGACCATGAGGGAGGGCTCACCGCACCTATTTACTGATGCCTGCTATGAATGCGCCAGGTTCAGGCCTCCAGCTCAGATCCTGACCTATGCTCTGTGGCAAGCTGTTGGTGGGAAACATGACAAGCACCCTTTCTCCATCACTGACCCCATGCCCTATGGCATTTCTTGACCCAGCCTGGGGACAAGTGGTCCCTGATAGATGCCATTTCCATGAAGCCTCCAGATGTGCCCTAGCGAGACCCTTTCTCCACTGCCAGCATCGCACACTGAGTTGTTTCTGGTCCTGAGTCCTCCTTTAACATTCCAAGCCACCCTAGGCTCACAGCTGCAACCTTGGGGGGAGCCAGCACGTGAGCTGGCATGACACCTGTTGGATGACCCCCTCTGCGAAAGGCGCAAGACATGAGGGAGGAAGCAAGAGGACTGACTCTACAGCCACTCCCTGAAGCAGGCGCTCCATGGAAGTGATCCCCTGGGATGCTCATCGCCGCAGGGAAAGGGTCGTCATCTTCCCTGCTGTACAGAGGAGGGAAATGAAGCTCAGAAGAGGCAAAGCTGTCTAGAGTCATACAGCTATGAAGAGACAAATCTGGACAGTCCTGCTAGACACTGAGAAGAGTCCTTTACACTCCTTCCCTTCGGCCCCAGTCTACATGGGCACACTTTAGAGGCAGCAATCCTGATAAAAGGAAAACATGGGACAGAGGAAAATGCAGGGAGATAATGGTGGAAGGACAGTCCCTCTGGAGTGGGATTTAGGCCTCCTTCAAGCTCAAACAGGCTGCAGTCTGTGCTTGTCTGAGGAACAGTCATCTCTGGGGAGGAGAGAGAAGGGCCTCACAGTTTGGACTCTGCTATGGACACAGACTATGTGGTGCTGTGGGAAGCTTCCCTCAAGTGCCTATGTACCCTAATTTCAACAGAAATACCCTAGTTTGGGGAATCATCCCTGAGGACATCAAAAGGAGCTCAGCTCCAGGGTCCATCATCTCTATAAACAACCCTCCTTTCTGCTCCTTTGGGACTGTTGATTCATGGCCTGACAATGGGATTTGTGAGGGTCCATGTTCAATCCTGGATGTCCAGGCACAAATGAGCATTTATCACTTTTTCCCCTGTTGAGGAAACAGAGAAAGACTTAGGGGACTTCTGAGGAGGGGATAAGAAAGGGGAAGGGAGAAGGGGCAGATCACAAACTCTTTTGTCCCTGCCCCCGTGAGCACCCTGTGCACTCAACAGACCTTCTGGTGCTCCTCATTGCCCCTGGGCCATCCCAGCCTACCTTCGACCTGTAGACAGTTTTCATGTAGGGAGAAGCCCTTCAAAGTGGTCAAACCCCAGAGTTCAACTTCTCTGGTTCTTTGGCCAGAACACAGCTTGGCTGTTCTAATAGTGCACGCCCTCTAGAAGGTGAGACCCCCACTCCTACTCCCCCATCCTACACTAGCAGGGTTGTGCCTTGCCACTGGTCCCATTCCTCTGGAGTGAGGCAGTTGTTGCTCTAGGGATGAGTAAACCCCTCACTCCCTAGGCCTGTGAAGGGATCTGGTCAGCAGATGCCAAAGGTGTTTTGCTTCTGGGAGCAGTGGGCCTGTGCTAGACAGCCCCTGCCATCCAAAAAACACCATCCAGCTGACTAGGGCCTTAAAAAACAGGTAGAAAATGCAATGATTCCAATTCCACTGCTCAGGCTCCCCTGGTCTGGGGCCCTCTGACCCAGGTCAGAAAGCCTGGGATAGGATGTGAGGACCCTCCCAAATCCCATCCTCAGGCCATGAATAAAGGAGCAGAAAGGAGGGTTGTTTAGAGCTGCTGCACCCTGGAGCTCCTTGACAACCAGGCTGATGTCAGGGCTAAAGTGTGGGCTGAAAGAGGCCAGAGCTATTGGCTGCCACCCGTGTGTCCAGTGGGGCAGGTCCCAGTTGGAAATGTAGGCAAAGGCCTGGCCACACTGCAGGCTGACACAGGGCATATCACCATTTTGGGTGACCTGATGAACGAGTAGCCTGGAGCCCTGGCTGAAGATTTTGCAACATTTGCTGTAAATTTAAGGCTTCTGGTCTTGTTAAGGGGAAGGATGTCCTATCTGTGTGAGTGTGTTGGTGCTGCAGCAGATCTGAACTGCCTATAAAATCCTTGCTTGGTTAGGGCTTGTTTAGGGCTTCCCTACCGTTTGTGAGCACTGATGTTTGAGTTTGGAGTTGTGACAGAAACATTCAGGCAGAGAACCATTGAACAAGTGGATGTGCTGGAGCTCCGAAAATTGGCGACGCTCACTAAAGCCAGGGCCACAACCAGAACTCCTGTAGAGCACTTCTCCATTGTCCGTGCGCTGCTGCCTTGGGTACTAAGCGGTCAATCCACACTGCGGGCATTCGAACGATGTGGGTATTGCAGAGCAGCTGGTCCCAGGTCCCGGCAGGGGCTTCTTCCTCCCCAGGGTCACAGCCTCACTCATATATGTACTTCCAGCCCAGTAGCATTTCCTGGGCGGCTGGCTGCCCAGGCCACTCGAGGAAGGGCCGCTCGAGTGAAACAACTTCAGTGAAACAACTCCGCAATCAAGGACGGACGTCGGGATTCCCTGGGATCCTAATGTCCATCTTCCCAGTCTCTCTGCCCCCGAATTTTTCCTGCCTACTTCCGGCGCTGCCGCCGCCATTTCGAGGGAAGAGTACCCGGCTTTCCTATACCAGCTACTGAGCACACAAGCTGTCCGAGAGGGGGACACTGGGGAGCAGGAGGCCAGCGCCGGAAATGGATAAATCCACTAGCTCGTGCCGCTCTAGGAAGTGGCAGCGACCGGTCTCGATAGGCTTAACCCTCTCATTCACCTGGCGGAGCGAGAGTTCTCCATCTGCGGCCGCTGTCAAGAATTTGACATCTGTAGCCTAACTAGAGATTCTGAGTCCATCAGCGTGGATTCGGATGCCCCGGCCTCCGCTGGGAGGCAACAAAGCAAGCCTGAAGGGAAAGGTGGTTGCTGCCGAAGGCACGCTTTGACAGAGTAGTCAAGTCACCAGAAGCAGCCCGGCACTGAGGCTCCACGGGCGGATGCCTGGGTTCTCCAAAAGCACCTGCCCGCTCCGAGTCCCGGGGAGAAGAGTTTCTCATTCATCCTAAACTAGGCGTGTTGAGTGTGGTGCAACTACATATCCCAGTATGCACCGCAAGCACCACAATTAGATAACCTCTACTCCAGATGTGCCTTCTGAAACAGTGCAAGAGTACCGGATCGCAGGGAGAACTACAATATCCGACTTGCCAAATAACTGCAGTCGGGGCGCTACCTAAAAAGCGTCAGAGAGGAGGGGCCTAGCCACGCCCCTCTCTTCCAGTTCCGCTCCCCTGTCTGAGCGGCGAGGAGGGGGGTGGAGCCTTAGGCCTGAGCCAAGATGGCGGCTGCGAAGCCAACCCCCACGGACTCGCTCTCGTTTTGCCTCGCGCAGCTCACGGCGGCGGCCGGGGAGGGTCTTGGTGGGGGAAAGGACACAGCTGCCAACGAGACATCCTTGGGCCGTGTGCTCCTAGCCCTCCGTACGCGCCACATCAAGGCAGCAGGGGGAATCGAGCGCTTCCGGGCACGCGGCGGGCTCCGCCCCCTTCTCGCTCTGCTACGGCGAGCGGCTGCAGCGGGCCCCGCCCCGTTCCAGGCTGGCCCCGGCTCCGCCCCCTCGTCGGCGGAGTCTGCGGCTTCTGATGGCTCCGCCCCCTCGCCGGGCCCCGCCCCCTCCGCCGCGGCGTCTTCGCCGCCAGCACGCCTGCGCAAGACGCTGGACTTAGCGCTCAGCATCCTAGCCAACTGCTGTACCGAAGGGGCGTGCCGGGCCGAAGTGCGCAGACTCGGAGGCATTCTTTCTTTGGGTAAGTGCTCCGCCCTCATTTCCTAGAAGGATTCCACCTTCGGTCTGGAGCTGGGCGGAGTCTTGAGTTCTTTGTGCAATGCCCTAGAACTTGCTTTATGACGGCGCAGAGCCCCCATCTCGAGCCGCTGCCCCGTGTCGTTCTCTTTCGATTCCTGCCTACCCGAACCTTCCAGATCAGATCATGACAGTCGTTCCCCGGGGCCTTGGCGACACCGCGCATCTGTCCTGGTGGAAGTCAAAGTGTTATTTTTGAAATGAGTCTTGTCCTCCACTTGCGATGTTCACGGCCGACGTTCGGTGTCGGCTGAGTGACCGACTCTGCACAGGGCCCTGACACCTCGTTTGATGAACTGGAGGTCAGAAGGTGTAGTCGCTTCACATCTAGGATTCCTTGTTGTGACGTGGACTAGTAACTACCTCGTAAAATTGGAATAGGGAGAAAGTGAGAAACAAATATAGAGCGTAGATACCCTCACCATCGACTGGGTATTTTGCGTTATTAAAAACTAGCACAGTAAGAAAAATTCTAACGAAAGATGGCACGCTCTCCTGCTCTCTAAATTGGCGCCGCCTGGTGGCAACGGTGTGAACGCAGTTTGCTCATCTGCCTGACTGCTGTGAAGTTGTCAGTTTTGGTGAAATCGTTTTTTATGATAAAAGGAAACTATATTTTTAAGTTGCATGAAATGCATCTGGACCATAACATGTTTGAAGAGAGGTTTGGTACATTAATAAATCCTCACTAGATTATAAATGTTATTGTCATTGTATAATCCTCGTATTCAATCACTATTTTATATTGTAAGTATTTCCTGAATCTGTCCAGCGCTATCCTTTCCAGCACCAAGTGCCTAGAGACCGGTGCAGTGTGCTGGACTGTGCTGGTGGCTTTGCACTCGCTGTTGTCCTTTCTTATCTGGATGAGTGCAATAGCTTCCTCGCTACTGCCTTTTTGCATTGTTCATTTCCCTTGTAACCCCTTCTCCCCATGGCTTCCAGATTGTATCATGTCACAACCATTCTTAAAATTCCAAGTAATGCCCAGTGCCCTCTTAGTCCTGATCCCTGGGCCAGGCTTTGAGGCCCCTCGTGAAGCCATAACACAGATACTACATCTCAGCACTCAGTCTTTGCAAAAGCTGCTTCTAAACCTCAAGTGCCCTTTAAAACCTCATCCGCCAGTCTTGTAGGAAAACTTTCCTACCTGTTAGTCTTCTAGACTCACCGAGTGTTAGCCTTGTCTGAGGCCTTTCTTGCCTCTCTGAGCCACCGTCATCAGGTGATTAATGAAAGAGATGAAACCCTCAAGAGGCCAAACTCTCTTGCAGTGACTATTCTTCAGTGCGTGAAGACAGACAGCATCCAGAACCGAACCGCCCGTGCTCTGGGGAACCTAGCCATGGAACCTGAGAGCTGTGGGGACATCCATTCTGCTGGTGAGACGTCTGTGAGGGTGGAGCTAGCTGAGGCGTGAGGTGGGAGAGAGGCTTGGTGTCTGTCCCTACTCACCCATTGCCTTCCCTCTCCAGGTGCCGTTCCTCTGCTCGTTGAGAGCCTGACAGCCAGCCAGGACTCAGACTGCCTGCAGAGTGTGGTCCGGGCCCTCCGCAACCTGGCGGACTCACCCCAGCACCGCCTGGCCCTGTCACAGCAAGGAGCAGTGCGCCCACTGGCCGAGCTTCTGGCTGCTGCTCCGGACTCCGCGCTGACCTTGGCCCTAGTCCGTGCTCTCCTGGAATTGAGTCGAGGCTGCTCCCGAGCCTGTGCTGAGCAGCTGAGCCTAGGTGGGGGACTCGGCCCACTGGTCAGCCTGGCTTCCCACCCTAAAAGGGCAGTACGTGAGGCGACTATCCTGATCCTTGCCAATCTTTGCGCCCAGGGCCTGGTACGGCCTGCACTGGGCAATGCTGGTGGTGTGGAGGTGCTGCTAGGTGAGCTGCAGAGGCGCCGGGGCCCCGGCGGGACGAGCCCCGCCTCTCAGCAGCCCCTGGTGCGGGCTGTGTGCCTACTGTGCCGGGAGGCCATCAACCGGGCCCGACTTCGGGATGCTGGTGGCCTGGAGCTGCTGATGGGCCTCCTGAGGGACCCTCGCGCCAACTCCTGGCATCCTCGTGTCGTGGCTGCCCTTGTGGGCTTCCTCTATGACACTGGGGCCCTGGGCCGGCTACAGGCTCTGGGACTTGTACCCCTCTTGGCTGGACAGCTGTGTGGTGAAGCAGGTGATGAAGAAGAAGAGGGGAGAGAAGCTGCTTCCTGGGACTTCCCTGAGGAGCGGACCCCTGAGCGGGCAGAAGCGGGAAGCTTCCGAAGCCTCAGGTAAGTTCCCCTTCCCGCTTGTGTCAGCTGCGCTCCCCTCACTAACGTCGACCCAGTGCTGTGTCAGCAGGACTTTTATTGAATCTGACTCTTGATTCCTTGTTCTCCTCAGACATGACCACTTTGCAGCCCCCATTAAACACCTCCTCTCCCTTGCATCTGCCTTTGACCTTGGCTTCACCCCAGCACCTCTGAACTTCTGGGCCTGGGCAGGTTCACTGGAAGGGAGCATTGCACTGGCTGGTTATGACGGCATCTGCTCTACAGCCTCAGTTCTTAGTCTGCTGCCACCGCCTGAAAGTTGTGTCATCGTGAGAAGTTAATTAGCTTCTCTGAGCCTCTGATTCCTTGTGTATAAGATGGAGGCTGGTAACGCACACGTCCCCATGGAGTTGTTGTAAAAATTAAGTGAAGGCACTTTGCACCTGACCTGGTACTCAGCAGTGCACAGTAAATTCAGCCTCCTCCTGAACTCTGCCTTGCGTCCCGCCACCCTCCGGAGTGCCCGGGGCACCTTCACACACTGGCCTTGCTAGTTTGGAGCATGGTTGCGTCATCCTGTGTGCGCTGATTGGCCCTTCTCTCAGCGTCGGCTGCCATCTCCATGGCAGGGGAGTCGGCTCTCCCCTGGTGCTTTTCTCTTCCCTTTGGCTTATCTCCATATGTCTCACTCCACACACACTCACATGCCATGTGAGTCCCTTCTTACTTTGTGGCCTGCTTCTCCTCACTAGAAAAACAAACCCTAGCGGTGTGTAAACCCTAGCAGGGCACTTGTGTTTTGTCTGTTGCACCTAAAACAGAACTTGGCACATGACAGGCATCAGTGATTGCTGAATGAGTCGGGGTTTTCCCTAAGACTTTTTCCCCTCTCACTCCTCCGACCTACCCCCTCCCAGCCCTCGGGCACCCCCTCTCCTTCGCTCCCCTCCTTCTACATGACCACTGCTTAAACCCGCTCCCGTCCCTTGACTCTCGTTCAGTTTCTTGTCTCCCCTCTGCAGGTCTTGGCTCATCTCCGAGGGCTATGCCGCAGGCCCCGGAGACATCTCTCCTGACTGGTCCCCAGAACGCTGTCCGCCACCAGAGCCGGCCGAACCTACCAGCCCTTCCCCGGGCCCAGCCTCACTGCGCACACCTCGTGCTCTGCGCACGCCGAGCCGCAGCCCTGGCACCTCCGAGGAGCCTTGGGGCCGGGAGGGGCCGGCGCTGTTGCTGTTGTCGCGCTTCTCCCAGGCTCCCGACCCTAGCGGGGCGCTGGTGACTGGCCCGGCCCTGTGTGGCCTGCTGGCCTATGTGACGGGAGCACCGGGTCCTCCGAACCCCCGCGCACTGCGCATCCTGACGCGCCTCACCTGCAACCCTGCCTGCCTCGAGGCCTTTGTTCGCAGCTATGGCGCTGCGCTCCTGCGTGCCTGGCTGGTACTCGGTGTCTCCCCGGACGACTGGCCAGCGCCCCGGGCCCGGCCCACTCGCCGCAACCAGCACCGGGAGCTGGGTGTGTCCCTCTGCCTCTTGAGACCCCTTCCTCCTGCTGCGCCCTCCATGGCCCACCTGCTCACTGCCCTCCCAGCCCACCATCCAGGCAGGCGGGAGACACCTTTGTGCATGCAGAATTCTACCCCATCCTTGCCAGGCCTTGCAGCCCAAGTGCCCAGCCGCCAGTCTTGGCTCTGACAACTTAGAACTGTGCCTGCCCAGTCTGCACTTGGGTCTGCCTGTTCCTGTACTTCTCTGTTGGGCACACTAACTAGTGAGGACCTACCTCGCGTGCTGATTCCTAGCCCTGAGCTTTTACCCTCCTTGCCTTCATGGTCCCAGAAGACTGTCTTACCCCTCCCACCCCAATCTTGAACACCAGCTCCCACCCTGACCAGCTCTGCCCGTCCCCACAGGTGAGATGCTGCTGCAGAACCTGACCGTGCAGGCCGAGTCGCCCTTCGGGGTGGGTGCCCTCACTCACCTGTTGCTCTCTGGAAGCCCTGAGGACCGTGTAGCCTGCGCACTGACCCTGCCCTTCATCTGCCGGTGAGGGGGGCACCGGTGCCTGGTGGGGCTCAGGGAGCAAGGTTGCTATTCCTTAGTCCCACCCTTTTCCACCTTCTGAAATATTCCCTTTCTCCCCAAAGGAAGCCCTCTCTGTGGCGCCGGCTACTTCTGGACCAGGGCGGCCTCCGTCTCCTCCTGGCGGCACTGACTCGGCCAATTCCGCATCCACTCTTCCTCTTCTTTGCTGCCGACTCCCTCTCCTGCCTCCGAGGCCTGGTGTCTCCCACTGTGAGCCCAGCCCTCCCACCTGCCATGCCCTGTGAACTGGACCCACCCTCCCCTTGCCTCTATGAACCTCTGCTGGGCCCAGCTCCCATCCCAGCCCCTGACCTGCACTTCCTGCTGGACTCAGGCCTGCGGCTCCCTGCCCAGCGAGCTGCCTCAGCGACTGCCTCCCCTTTCTTCCGTGCCCTGCTGGCTGGCAGCTTTGCTGAGGCTCAAATGGACCTGGTGCCACTTCGAGGCCTGTCACCCAGTGCAGCCCGGCCTGTCCTGCATCACTTACATGGCTGCCGGGGCTGTGGGGCTGCCCTGGGGCCTGTCCCCCCACCAGGCCAGCCCCTGCAGGGCTCAGATGCTGAGGAGGCACTAGAAGCTGCCGGCCGTTTCCTGCTACCTGGTCTCGAAGACGAGCTGGAAGAGGCTGTGGGCCGTGTCCACCTGGGACCCCAGGGTAGCCCTGAGTCAGTGGGTGAAGTGTTCCGCCTGGGCCGGCCCCGGCTGACTGCCCACTGTGCTCGCTGGACACTGGGGCCAGGGCAGTGCCCACGGAAGCGGGCACTGGCCCTAGTAGGGCTTGTGGAGGCAGCAGGCAAGGAGGCAGGACCCCTGACTGATGCTTTACTGGCTGTGGTGACGGGAGTTGAACTGGGGGGCAGGGGCCCCAGCCTAGACTGTTGATGATCCCTGGGAGGAGACTGAACGATGATTTGGTTATGAAGGAAGCCTGCCTCAGAATGGCAGGAGGAGGCTGAGCCTACAGAGTCACCATCCAGAACTGATGAGAGGATGGAACTGGACCCCAAAATGAAGGTCCAAAGGCCCAGGAGTGAGGAACGGAGACCAGAGTTTGGGCATGGAGCCCATGAGATGGAGACCAGCCCAGCAACCAGGCACCGGCCTGGCCACGTCTTCTGGAGATGAATTAAATCATTGGACTTGTATACCCTATCGTGTGGTCTCTGCTTACTTTCCCGTGGGACCCCCACACACACTCCACGTGTCCAGGAGGGTCTTAGATCTCTCTGTCTCAATACAGGCCCCCCTTCGCAGGCAGGAATTTACTAAGTAAGTGGGCAGTGGTGCTGGAGCCCTGGGATGGGGTAGAGTTCCCAGGCTTCTCCTTAGGATGTGGTTTCAGGCCTCAAGGGAAGTCTGCTTCCTGCTCGCTCCACTTCATTGCTCAGACACCACTCAGCTGGACACACTGACGTTGGTCAGGACGGAGAAAGCTGGACTGAGGGAATGCTGTGCGCGTGGGGATGTATGTCCAAAGCCCAGACATTCTTCCTCACCTATCTTGGGCCTTCAGGCTCTGGGCCTACTTTCATTTTTTGGGTCAAGTGTCCTCCTGCTGCTTGCCTATGAGAAGGGGCCTGGAGTCTCTGAGGCCCTGTGTTAGTCATGCCCCGAGAAAACCAAAGCCCTTGGACGGGCATTCAAGTGAAGCAAGGGCTCTTGTTGCTTTGATCTCCAGTGTCAGATCCCCTGAGCACTCAGGTAGCAGCCTGAGTTGAAGGAGCCTACCACTTAGCTTTTGGGGAGCTGAGGTTGACATTTGCTGTCTCGGTGCCTCCCTGAGAGGCCAGGTCTCTTGTCAGGCTGCATATTAGAAACAAATACTGGTACCTGGGCCTCTTCTCATCAATTAAGACTGAGGAAAGGTTGCCCGGAGCATCAGCTCCCCAAGTCGCTCCGATTTGTGGCTGGGTTGAGACCAGTGCCTATGTCTGGACTCAGAAGCCTCTTGTTCCTTTATGGCTGAAGCCTGCTGCTTTCTTCTCTGTTCACCAGTGTCGTGGGGAGGGCTCTCTAGGCGCTCCTTAGTGTTGGGGAGGGGCTTTGTCCTGAAGGCTGGCTGGGGGCTGGCTGACGAGGGAATGCAGCTCTGGCTTGGGCTCAGTCCATGAATCCGCGTGTCTGTTTCCAACTCTTGGAAAAAGGTCTGCAGGGAGGTTCCTTGTTTGTGTCTGTCTGGCTCTGAGAGCTCTCTTTTGTGTCTAGCATGATGTGCCTTTTGGGATCTCTGTCCCTTGTCTGTCAGTCTCAAAGGGGAGGTTTCTGAACCTGAGTCTGCTGGAACCTTAGAACATGACTCCTGGCCCCAATCCAAACATTCTGTCTGGAGCAAGTCTCTTTGGGATCAGCCCCTGGGAGGGAGGCTCTGCCTAGCACTGAGGGTGCTGGCTTTGGGAGGTGTCTGCGTGGGGGCCTCAGACTGTCTAAGAATCACAGCCGGCAGAGAGGAACCGGAGCTGGGTCTGGAGAGTCACTTTTCTCACTCTGGTTCAGCCGCCTGGGGCTCCCTGCAGCTGAGGCCAAGGCTGGGGTGTGGCCACCTCCCGGCAGGCGGGGCTGCGGGCTGGGCCTGGGTGGGCAGGGGCCTTCCCTCCTTTACACGCCCCCCCCCCGGAGTTTTCCCGTTCTTTGCACCCCCACCCCACCCCCAAGCCCCATCCCAGCGGGTCCCGGCTTCCTTACATGGTCACGGCCGGGGCTCCAACCCCCGGACGCCCCCCCGCCCCCCGCCCCCACCGGACACGGCCCCCGCCCTGCTCGCCCCGCGATCGCTCGCGCCCCGCCATGGAGGACCTGGGTGAGTGGGGTCCCCGCTGTCCCCAGCCCCTCGCGGCCGCCCGGATGCTCCTCTCCATCCCGGCGGCCCCTCTCGCTCTCCTCGAGCCCGGGTTCCTGCCTCCCGTCTTCTCTTCTCGCTTCTGGTCGGAGCCGCGACTCCTTTCCGACTCCACGTCCCCTTCCTGCCTCTCCCTTCCTGTCTTTCCCCACCGGCCTCTCCCTCCCTCTTCCCCAGCTCTGCCCCTCCGTCTCTGGCTGCGGATGGATGGGCAGGAAGGTACTGCGCCCCTGGGCTCCTGGACTCAGGGACTCTGGGCTGAGAGGGGTTAAAGGGGCCTTGGGTCTAGGGACTGCGAAAGTGGACAGAAGGGGGAAATATAACATCAAGTTCTGGAGAAGACAGCCCGCACCGGGGTTAGGGAGAGGAAAGAGTTAAGGGCCCTTGAGTAAGTAGGGGCCAGCAGAGAATAACAAATAAGGAGTGCCAAGATGCCAGGGAGGGGTGAAGGGTTCCACCACGATGCTCAGAGAATAAAGGATCAGGGACTTCCAGGCTCTGGAAGGGAAAGAGTTCAAAGGATTTGGAGCCAGAAGTGGGGGGAATTTCAGGGCAGGAAGGAGAGCCCAGACTTCTCCTCCTCCCTGTTGGAACTGGGGCTGGAAAGCTGTGCCCTCCTTGGGAAAGAGGGGGTTCCGGTAACTGGCAGTAGGGGGTGCTGCTCAGTAGGGGTAACCGGCTCTGGCCTGGGGGTGGGCCTTGGCTGCCGGGTGCGGTCTGTTTAGAAGGGAGGTGGAGGGGGCATCAGTGGGTGTGGCAAAACGAGCCTCCAATCAGAGAGCTGGGTACCAGGCACAGGGCCCACTAAGCAATTTGGGGTGGAGCCAAATTTGGCCGGCGTAAAGAGCCAATTTTGACTGCATCAGTAAGGATGGGAGAATAAACGATATCAGCGGCTGGGTTTGTGCAGGACTCCCAGAATGAGCCACTTAAGATGCTCTGGCCATAAATATTCCTTGCTGCCTTCCACATCTCTGCGTTGTTTCCTTCTGACCTTGATCCCTTAATGCCAGCTGGGGGCCTCCTCAATTACTACCCGCTGGAATCCCTATCCTCTGAATGGCCTGTCTCTGCCCTAACCTTGACCTCTCAGCTTCTCACCCTGATGGCCTCTCCCTACAGATGCCCTGCTCTCTGATCTGGAGACCACCACTTCACACATGCCAAGATCAGGGCCTTCAAAAGAGCGGCCCTCAGAGGCCCTCACATCTCCTCTGACCTATGGCCACCAGCCACAGGTGAGATCAGATGCTGGGGGTTTGGGGCAACCACTAGAGCTTGACTTGGCAGGGCCAGAGTGGGGCAAAGGCCAGGGCTATCCCTCCCCACACGTCCTTCTCTCTGTAGACAGGGCCAGGGGAGTCTTCGGGAAGCTCTGGGGACAAGGACCATCTGTACAGGTGAGGTGCCTGGGGCCTGTGGGATAGAGAAGCCAGCTGAGACGGAGGTGAGGAGGCTTGGGTTCCTGTCCCTGAACCCAGGCCCCCTCCCTGTTTCCCAGTACGGTATGCAAGCCTCGGTCCCCGAAGCCGGCGCCCCCCGCCGCCCCTCCATTCTCCTCCTCCAGTGGTGTCTTGGGCACAGGACTCTGTGAGCTAGACCGGTTACTTCAGGAACTTAATGCTACTCAGTTCAACATCACAGGTACCTGGGTTACTGTGACAGACCTTATTGGGCTAGGGGCAGGGCTGGGAAGGGCAGAGACTAAGGGGTATAGACCCTGAAGAGCGACTGAGGAGATACAAACTTTACAGGGGAGGGTGGGCAGAGCATGGCCTCATGCCAGTGCCCTTCTCTCCTCTCTGCAGATGAAATAATGTCTCAGTTCCCATCAAGCAAAGATGCTGCAGGGGAACAGAAAGAGGACCAATCTGAGGACAAGAAAAGGCCCAGTCTGTGAGTTTGACTAGTTGGCAGGGCCCAGGGTCAGCCAGTCATGGATGCCTGAGTTTCTTTGAGAAGCTCTGAGCTGATGCTCCTTGTGTTCTTTCCAGCCCTCCCAGCCCATCCCCTGTTCTCCCAAAGCCTTCGGCTACCTCAGCCACCCTAGAGCTGGATAGACTGATGGCCTCACTCTCTGACTTCCGAGTCCAGAACCATGTGAGTTAAGCAGGAAAGGGTGGGAGCGGTGGAGAGGGCTAGTGTCATTTTGTTGCTCCTCAACCATTCTAGACCTTTGCCAAATGAACTCTCATGTCCTCCCTACTGCAGCTTCCAGCCTCTGGGCCAACCCAGCAACCAGCGCCGAGCTCTGTGAATGAAAACTCCCCATCCCAACCCGACCAGACCAGCAAGGGCAGCCTGGACACCATGCTGGGGCTGCTGCAGTCCGACCTCAGCCGCCGTGGCGTTCCCACTCAGGCCAAGGGCCTCTGTGGCTCCTGTAACAAATCCATTGCTGGCCAAGTAGGTGGAATCCTGCAAATGGGGAGACCCACAGACCCTTCTTTACTGAGAGCCAGACTGTGCTGTTCCCTTTTAATAAATAATCTAGGTGATTGGCATGACTGTTATTTACATTATGAAGGTGAGGAAAGTCTGAAGCTCTGAGTCACCTACCTGCAAGTGAGTGGCTGGGAAAGTTCTAACCCAAGCACCCTTTATCACACCCTACTGTGCAAGCACTGTGCCAGCTCTTTATGAACCCCCATCTCATCTAACCTTCACAAAAGCCTCCTGTTCCCCACCCACCTCTTCCAGGCACCCAGAGTCTGCTTTGGGAGTTATGACTCTTGACTTATTGACTGGGCAGGTGTTATGACAACAGCTATATCCACTGATTAACCTAACCTCCCTCCCCGCCCCCCAGAGCACGTGCCCTGCTCCCAACCCAGAATTTCCAACCTCAGCAGAAGAGGGAGGCATTATGACCCTCATGGGCCCATGGCACTTTCGCCTTCATGGGTCCCACCCTTTAGAAAAATACATTAAAATTGTATTTTATGACTGTGAGTATAAAGATGAATGTATCGCTATGAAATCATTTTCTTTTAGCTCATTTTTTCCTTCTGATTTTAAAAGATAATACATCTTCGCAATGCCTAACAATATTGGGGGCCTCAGGCTGTAAGACCTGGGTCAATTCTCCATCACATACAGACTGAGTGACTTGAATGTTAAATTCTGATAACTCAGAGATAAGACTTGAAAAGTCTTAGGTAAGTGGCCACCTGGGGACACTCTGACCTTGGCCTCACCTCAACTGACAGGTGGTGACTGCACTGGGCCGAGCTTGGCACCCTGAGCACTTCGTTTGTGGTGGCTGCTCTACAGCCCTGGGAGGCAGCAGCTTCTTTGAGAAGGATGGAGCCCCCTTCTGCCCCGAGTGCTACTTTGAGCGCTTCTCCCCACGATGTGGCCTCTGCAATCAACCCATCAGACATGTGAGCCCACACCCCGCTTCTGTGTCACCCCAGGCACCTGTGGGTTGAGGCTTCGTCCACTCACTCTCCTCACCCCCACACATCCCCTCTCCACCCTAGCTCAGCCCCTTGGCCTCTTCCATGGCCTTTGGGATTCTACCCTCTCTATTTGACTGCCAAGTTCCTTGTTAAATCTCCTGCTCCTGGGACTCACTCCAGCCCAGCAGCCAGGGAGTGGGGGGGGAAGGGAGACCCCACTGAGTATTCCCTTCCATCCCCTGCAGAAGATGGTTACCGCTTTGGGCACCCACTGGCACCCGGAGCATTTCTGCTGCGTCAGTTGCGGGGAGCCCTTCGGAGATGAGGGTGAGAACCTGACTCCCTTAAAAGCCTCGGGTGCACTTGACATCCCGCCCAGCCCCTTTTCACCTTGACTAGCCCCTAGCTTCCCGACCTTCTCTGCTCAGGAATGTCTTGTCTCCCCTCGTGCTTTTCCCTTCCCCCTCCTGCTGGGTCCTGTCCGGGCCCAGACCTCGTTCCTGCTCCTTAATGCTCTCTGTCGCCGCCCACCCCCTGACCGCGTAGTTGAGCTCCTGTGAAGTACGACCCCCCAAGTGGTCTTCCGCTGACCGGCGTTCTGCGTGAGGCTTCGCTTTATTCCCACCTGCCCCTGCCCTGAGGAGGGCCCTCGCAGTTCGAGCACGCGGAGGCCAGGCCCCAGGCCCCTTGCGGCTCCGCACACTTTTGCTTTCAGCCCCGTGTCCTCCCCTAGGTTTCCACGAGCGCGAGGGCCGCCCCTACTGCCGCCGGGACTTCCTGCAGCTGTTCGCCCCGCGCTGCCAGGGCTGCCAAGGCCCCATTCTGGACAACTACATCTCGGCGCTCAGCGCGCTCTGGCACCCAGACTGCTTCGT